CCCCAAAACCCCAAAACCCCAAAACCCCATGTTTCCACAATTATCAGAATTAGAATGAATGAATATTTTATAGAATTAGGATTTTTCATTGGTGTAGGCATAGCTGCTTTTTATATAAATTAAAATATTGTAAGAATATGGCAAAAATAGATATAAGTGGCTATGATGGCACTAATGGAATATGTGGAGTAGATGGATATAATTACGGTTCTAATGGTTCAAATGCAGGATTTCCTAATATGGGAGAAGATGGTGGTACTGCAATATTATGATTAGAAAGAGTTCCATAATAGCCTCAGTCTATGAGGGTCCATGGAAAAATTCATGATAAACCTTTTGATAAAACATTTGATCTTGGATAAATAGATGTATTAGACATTTATGCAAAAGGAGGGAAAGGTGGAAAAGGTGGATATGGCGGTAATGGCGCAAGTGGCAGTCCAGGTTCCGATGGTTCTGATGCCACTTAGAATTCTAGCGGAACTGATGGAGGTCCTGGAGGAAACGGGGGCAATGGAGGTAATGGAACTCCTGGAGCCAATGGAGGAAAAGGCGGATTCGTTTAAATCACAGTTACTAAATTTGACATGGATCTCTTAGTATTGATTGGAGAGATTGATATAGCTGGTGGTTAAGGTGGAGAACCAGGAAGAAACGGAAAAGGAGGAAAAGGTGGTCCTGGTGGAAGAGGAGGTTCTTCTTACTCTTGGTCTGAAACCTCATACTCTACAACCACCGATTCTGATGGTAATACACAGACGGAATCTAGTACATAATATTATTCTAACCCTGGAGGAAGTAATGGTCCTGATGGAAAAGATGGTAGACATGGGTCTGGAAATATTTCACCAGGTTAAGATGGAAAAAAAGGAAAATTCGAATATTTAATAGAATATTCAGACTTAGAGAATTAGAATTAAATGACTCTATCCTTCAAAAATAAATATGATCTCAAGATAACTGGATTTAGGTATCAAATGTATGAAGATGACGGTATCATTGAACCTGGTGAAAGAGCATTTATTGATTATATTACAGTCAGTAATAGGGGAGAGATGCCAACACCGAATTATTCAGATTTTGAAGTCTCTTTGTAGGAAAATCTTTGGCTAATGAAAGCTGGATAATGTATGGTTCCAAGAAATTTACAAAGCAAAGAGGTGAAAACCTTTGAAACAAAAGTTGACTTCATAGTAAACTATCCTTCTGGTCCTTAATATCTTCCTAAACCAAGACTAGAAAATACAGAGGCTTAAGTTTAAGTTTACATCCCAAGCCTAGACAGATACCTACCTAATGCAATTGTTTCAGAAACTCATAAAATAAAAATAGAGTATCCTTTGCAAATAGAATAATTCTAATGCCTGAGAACTTTTTCACCAGGATAAACTGCTAAGATTATTTTCACCTTGTTTAACAAATCAAAATTAGCGATTGCTGGAGATAAAAGATCGGCTTAGATATTTATCCTTGCAGGATCTGGAGATTTTGACTCAACTGAGTTAAGTATTTTTTATTAGGATTGATAGTAATTTTTATCTGAAAGGTTCTAAATTGATGTGCCAGTAATAAAGAAAAATTCCAAGCAACAAATTATATGCAATATAACTATCCCACCATAAGTATAGCATCTATTAAGATCGAGCTTTATTATAGAGTTTTATTTGCATGATCCAAGAAATCAGTTATTTTTTATGCCATGTATTCATACTTTTCCTTACGATATTAGAATAGGCTTTGATTACATTCCTAAATAAGACTCGGATGTTCTTTTTATTATTAATGAAAACTTTAAACTAGATGATTTGGATTTCATAGAAAAAACGTGCCAATACTACGGACTTAAACATAATTACTACGATCTTAGCATGACTGGCCATTTAAATCTGTTTTAAATCTAGGAAGAATCCAAGACTAATTTAGCTTAAGATTTGTAACTTAAAACAATAGTACTGATTAACTCTTAATTTCTGCTAAGCTCTACAAGTTAAGATTTGATGTATGGTTGGACTCTAGAGTTCCTTAAAAAGGAAGACATGTTAAGAGCTACATAACTGTATCGTATTCACTTTGTAATATTTTCTCCTCACAAGCATAATTATAATTCTTGGACTGTGAAATATGACTAAGAGGGAACTTATTATAAAGAAATTGATGATTTTTTAAAAGAAGAATATAAGTTATCCTAGAAATCTCTTTCCGAAAAGATTGGTACAACTGATTTCATAGTTGCTACAAAAGCCTTTCTCTCTTTTAAGTCTAGGAAGAAGCAAGTCGAAACCTAAGCTAAACATCATGTTAGGAAAATTTAAAAAAGATTTCCTTACTAGAGTTATGTATCTTGTCATGTTTTTAGTTAAGATGAAAAAGATAAAGATAAAATAGGACATGTAGCGATTATGAGAACTCCTCCATTCATTAACTAATATGTAGCATTTATGGATTTCAACGATATAATTTCAAATCAGTTCGATTTTGCTTTTGCTATTCTATGCACAATAGATATAAAAATAAGAACTAACATTGCTCTTAATCTTGTAAGTGAAGATGATATTTAAAACAAACATTTTGATCCATTAATTGAAAGTTTAATGTTCTCTCTTGGTAGAGAAATTGAAATTGGCTGTCACAGTAAACACTCTACTAAATTTGAGTTTGAAGATTTCTCATCGTTTTTAAAAATCTTCAAGGTACAATTGAAGCATAACAAGTCGTTGAATATTCAACCATTTGATGAGCTAATCATTCGCCTTAAAAAGCTCTCCAAAAAATAAGAGAAACTTACCGATGTGATTATATTCTGGGTGGCTCATGCCAAGTTATTAAGAAAATTGAACAAAAAGCTGAAAGCTATGAGTAAATTGCTAAAGCATGATAAGGAAAGTCTCAAGTAGCACAAGATGATTAAAGAAAAGATAAGTAAAAGCTATGATGCAAAAAGGAAATAATTCAAAGATAGCAAACTCCCAAAATACCTGCTCTTAAGCAATCTTGACCTAGAAAGAGATACTTACAGAAGTTGGGTTAGTTTTGAAAAAGTGATATCTGAAGATGATATAAAGCAATTTTAAGCTAATGAACAGAAACATAGAGATTAATGTTTCCACTTAGTTGATTACAAGAAGAAACTAGATCAGCAATTGAAGAATTGAGATAATCATGAGTATATCTAGGACTTGCTAATTAATCGAATATTATTACTAGCTTTTGGATTAATTATTTGATACATAATCTTTATGATTATTTTTAATTAAGGGGTTTTGGGGTTTTGGGGTTTTGGGG